ATATTTACGATTTGACCACACAAAAAGAACTCCATACGTACGAATTACGATTTAACTACGAAAGTTACCTTTAATACAAAAAGACATAAATACACTTATACACACACACAAAAAAATAGCTTACGTCGGAACTAGTTAGTTCAGTTGGGAGATTCTTACCCACACGTCCGAAAATATGTATATATATATTAGACACATATACACATCTTTATACATCTCAATCTACTCAAGATTACTTAAAAAATTAAGATTAAATGGTGAATTATATTCTTACGATGGTTACTAAATGTTACTAATATTTTCTAGTTTCTACGATAGACCAAAATGATTCCCCAAACGAGCGGTGTTTAGGTGAAGGACAAGATTTGTTTCCCATGCAAGAGACATTCAGAGACCCCCGTACGTACTATAGTTGTGAAATCAAATTAATAGCAAATATATATATATCAAAATTGAATATTATTCTGTGGAGAAAACATAAAGAAAAGAAACAAAAAGAAAAGCCAAGACAAATTTGATCAGATAAAGGAATAAAAATAAAGTTAAAGTTCTAGAGAATGCATCGCAACAAAAAAAAAAAGCATACAAATAATACAGTCTTTGATAACGAAAACTGGATCAATGTTTTCTCGTGTTTTTTACATTGACTAAAAAACCTATATTCTCCTTGCAAACAGTATAACTAAAAAAAAAAGAGTTTTGAAATTTCTTGATTTTTCTTATGATTTATTCGTCTTAATTTCCCATCTGTTCTTCGTCTTAATGTTCGAACATCGAGAAGATTAATTTGGAGAAATGTATAAATATTTAAGAAAAAAGAGAGATAAAGAGAGAGAGAAAAAAAAGAAAAAGGAACGAAGAGAGAAAGCGAAAGGAGAGAGTGTCATAGAGACAAGAAATTAGGAGTGTGATGGCGTGATTTGCTTTTCTTTTCAATTTATTTTGGGTCCGAATCTTTTTAATTCCAAAGTAGCCCTTTTTTTTTTTTTTTCCTTAAATTAAAAAAATACTAGTAAATTTTTAGTTGTTACTGTGGTTAAAGCTGGTAATTTCCATAGTTGACGCCTGTTGCTATGATTGATGCGATAATTGACATGATTATTACGGTAGCACTGTAGAAATGCAGAAGATGCAGCACTATCGAATACTACTAGTATTAAATAATCAACTAATTAATATCTTTGAAATAATTTATTTGTAACTTTAAACGGACTTTACCACATCAACAATATTCACATTCTATTATCAATACACTCCATAATTATGTTTAGATGCAATTCACGTTCTTAGAATTTTTATTTATAGAGTTATCGTTGTTTTTAATAAAAAAATGTTTTGGTAACGTTGAATCACGATAGAGTTGTATTGATTTAAATTAAAATGAAGCATGTGTTACTTTTTTGAAAATTTTGTCAAAAGTAGTGTGAAAATTTTGATTTTTTAGTTAAAATCGCTTTTGACAAAGCAGGCAAAAAATCCACTTTGCCACCGACCCAACAAGTAACGGGTTTATATTATTTACAAGAGACAAATCGGAAGAACATAAGGTTAATTTGGACATTTCATATTTCTCCAATTAGTTTGCATGTTAACAAAAATAAAAGCAAAATGTTTTAAATGATAAAGGTTTAATATGTTTTTATCTTAGATATAGTAGTACATAAAATTAGATTTGGCTTATATCATGAATAAAGCTGAACAAAATTTCTAGATAACCGTACATTACCACGCTAAAACCAAATCTAAAACATTTGTTTATTTGAAAACAATAATTTTTTTTTCTTTAATAATTCTTTTGTTTTTGTTTTTTTCTTGTTCATCTCCTTTCTCTTTCAATTACCGTTGGAACAAGACGAAGTTTCAGAGACAACACTACTCAATCTCTCTCTCTCTCTAACCTCAATGTTGTCTTT